CAAGATGATCAAAGAGACAATGGACAAGAAATTTGGATCTTCCTGGCATGTGGTGATTGGGGAAGGGTTCGGCTTTGAAATCACCCATGAAGTGAAGAATTTGCTCTACATGTTCTTTGGAGGCAGTCTAGCAGTTTGTGTTTGGAAATGCTCCTGACACATTTTTCGCTACTGAAGCTCATCGCAAGCAGGATACCCTTTTCCCCAGACTTTTAATTGGTTTTTGTACAATTTAAAGGGCAACTTTATTTTTAATAACAACAAATATTGGGCTTTTTCTTATTTATATGCAAGTTATATGAGATATATTTAGTGTGTATCTGTAAATCTGTTTGAGCTACCTAATCCAGCTCATAAGTGTTTTGATTCTGATTTTACCAATGTGTCTTCTTGCTTAGAGGTGGGATTGTGCAAGAGCGATTGGGGTTATGAAGCCATACATTGGAGGTAGTGTGAGAATTTTAACCCAAGTTTGCTGCTACTTCTCCTTGCTATCCTTCCCACTTTCTAAGAGCAGACCCGAAAAGGCAGCTTTCATTCTGCCTGGATGGCAGCTGCATGGTTGAGAAACCTAAGACAGTGGATGGTTGCTGAAATGATTTTGCCTCGCCACCTCACTACACCTAAAGAGCACTGATATAATTTGTGGAGCATATGGTGCAGAAATAGAGATATTTTGCCTAGCATGGGGATGGGGTGGGAGTATCATACCAATATGTTCAGAAACTGGTAATGGAAAGAATGGACCTGACCTGCCAGTTTCTTATACTTCTAAGTACAATTGTACTTCCATTTTGTAGGCTGATGCCATCACAGAGGTGTTTGATTAATGGAATGATCTTAATTGTATTTTCTATATCCCTTGTTAGAATTTGGAATGGAAAGGGGATTTACTTTTTGCAATAAAAACTTTTTTAAATGCATGGCTCCTATCTGAGAGATTTTCCTAGAATTTTGTGCATGCCCAGAAATGGTGGGAGACCTGTATGTACCGGCTTTCCAATAGGATGCAGAGATCCTACTTACAACGTGACTGAATTCAGTGTTATCCTTCAGTTAATGCTTATGCCACCATGTTGTGGCTCACCTCTGGCTTTCATCTTGAAAGCAATGAGCCGGATCGTATTTCTTAATTCTTAGTTGATGGGCAATCCCCAAGATATGCCTTGCTTATCGTGTCCCAAAGGTGCAATATGCACTCATCAACTTCAAATCTCTGGTTAGCCTTTATGTCACATTGCAACATACCATAAAATGGTAGTTAACTGCTATAGAACTATTCTACTAAAATTTAACAGGACAAATGATTTATCCCTTCAGGGAAAAAAAGCTTGCATACTTTTCTTTCTTTTACCCTTACCATAGTATCTGGGCAGCAAATTACATACTACAATGTAACAAAACTGCTCCCGGAACAAACTTTTGCGCACAGCTTAGTTGCAACCACTACACAAGGATGTCCCCATGGCCAAATCCTGCCAGTTTAGAATACCACATTAATGGTATCAAAATGTATCAAGTAATTCACACTAACTCAGATAGCTGCATTTAAGCCATCCATCAAAGTTATCGAAGCAGCCTTACTATCATATCATGGCCTGATTAAAATTGGTCCATCTTTCAAATAAAGTTAAGAGGTCATTGCCATCTTTGCCCCAAAATAGAATGTATGAAAGTAGAACTAGAGGTTTGTTAATTATTTATTTTAGAAAATTATACAGCTGCCCATTTTTAACTCTGCAACCAAGAAACAATGTCAACAATATTAATAAAAAGCAGTGTAAAACTATACGGAATACATGATCCAAGCTCGGTCGGTCACTGGGACCAGCAATTAGTCTACTAAATTTATGGACTCCTGATGGAGCCCATCCTCAAGGAATTAACCTTACAACCTTACAACCGCTTCCTTTAATGGTTGCGGAAAAGACCCCTCTTTTCTGCAAGTGCGGAAAAATGCAAAACATTTTGCCGACCGTATCGCCACTAAATAAGTCCTAATAAAGGCTCTTAAGAGTGTTCGGTCAGATTCAGATTTACTGGTCCTCCACCGCCGCTCCAGACGTCTTTTCTGGCGCTTCATCTCCTGGAGCTCCTCAGTAAACCAGGGAGTTTTCCTGGATTCACTGCTCTTGAGAAGTCGCAAAGGCACAATCCGATCCAGTGCCCCAGACGCTGCCTTATTCCAGGCAGCAACCAGGATCTCTGCCGGGCTGTGGACAAAGGAGTCAGGTATCTCCCCAAGCTCCTTCTGGAACCCTACAGGATCCATTAGGCACCTGGGGCGGAACCACTTAATCTACTCCACCTCCCTGCGATGGGGGGGGGGTGGCGTCCTAAAGTCCAACCTCAGCAGGAAATGATCTGACCACGACAAAGGAGATCCAGATCACATCTCCACTGCCCCGAGAGAAACACCAAGTCGAGCGTGTGTCCTCCCCTATGGATCGGACCCTGAACTACTTGGGTCAGGTCCATGGTTGTCATGGAAGCCATGAACTCCTGAGCCACATCTGAGGATTCGCCAAGTGACGGCAGGTTAAAGTCCCCCAGCTTCATGAGCCTGGGGAACTCCACCGCCAACCCGGTTACTGCCTCTAGTAGCCCAGGTAGGGATGTTGTAACGTAGCTGGGAGGCAGGTACGTCAACAACAGACCCAACTGAACTCTTGAGTCCAACCTCAAGAGGGGGGGCTCACATCCGACAATCTCCAGGGAAGGGATCCTGTGAGGGCAAAGACTCTTACGGACAATGACTGCCACTCCTCCACCCCTTTCCTGGAGTCGCGGCTGATGCAGTATCTGATAGGGGAACACCCTCTTGGCCCAGTCAGGTCTCAATTATGCATGCCAGGTCAGCCCTCTCCTCCAGGATTAAATCCCGAACGAGGGGGGTTTTATTAACAACAGGCCTGGTATTAAATAGCAGCAGCCTGAGGCCAGGCCCCTGATTTCCCAAGTCACCAGGTATATGGGATGAGCCTTGTGAACCAAGACCAGAGGGACCGGAACACGTAATCGTTTTGACATAGCGAGTCCTAGTTCCCCGAGAGCGGCCTACCCCTCGGCTCCCGTCATATCTACCTCTCCCAGTCATAACCGCAATATTCCGGCTCTCCATCTCCCCAGAGACCCCCTCCCCATCGGCCCCCCTCTTCCCCAGTAGGCAAGGCACTTCATTCATTCATTTATTTTTATTTATTTTATTTAATATAATTTATATGCTGCCCTATCTCCATAGGACTCAGGGCGGCTCACAAGTAAAAACAAAGCCAATAAAAGACATAAAATACGTAAGTATACATACCTAAAATACATAAATGTATAAATATATAGTTTAAACATAAATTAAAACCCATTAAAATAATCAAAAAACCCCTCAGTCCAGGCTGGGCGATGTGAACAACCATGTTTTTAATTCATGGTGGAAGGTGCGAAGGTCAGGAGCCAACCGAAGCCCCAGGGGGAGTTGATTCCAAAGAGTAGGCGTGCCCACAGAGAAAGCTCTACCCCTGGGGCCGCCAGCCGACATTGTCTAGCCAACGGCACCCGGAGAAGGCCCTCCTTATGAGAATACACTGGGCGACGGGAAGCCATTGCTGGCTGCAGATGGTCCTACAAATATCCTGGGCCTAAGCCATGTAGGGCTTTATAGGTCATTAGCAGCACCTTGAATCTCACCCGGAGAGCAACCGGTAACCAATGCAAGTCGCGCAGGAGAGGTGTAACATGGGAGTATTGGGACCCTCCCATCACCACCCGCGCGGCTGCATTCTGCACCAGCTGAAGCCTCCGAGTGGTCCTCAAGGGCAGCCTCAGGTAGCAAGCATTACAGTAGTCAAGACGGGAGGTGACTAGAGCCTGAGTAACTGTGATAGCAGATAAGTTGTTGGTTTTGTTTCCCTGTGTTGCCAAGTCCTCATTCCCTATCTCCTAAGTACCTGATAAACTGATAAATTGGCACTCCTTTTGACTGACAAGGGATCCATTTCCCAGGCTTCAATAATTTTACTATATGTATACCTGCTTGGCCAAAATCTTAATGGTGTAAGTTTCAACATATGTCCTCATTCATTGCAATCTGAGACTCCCAATGAGTTTGGATCTCTTTGTCTGACCACTTGGCTTATGTTCTTGCAATCTAATGGTTAGCTTCCTCCATGTCTGCCCTACACAGAGGGGCAATCCGTGCAGGGGATCTGGTAGATTACACTGGAAGGATCTCCCACCTTCCAGCGATCTTTGCAATGTATGATGTGTCCTCATATGGTAGTCTTTGGGCAGTGTGCGATGCCCGGTTGCAGATCTAGAAACTGCATTCTACTGCTTGTGAAATATTTTTTATGTATGGCAGAGTATGTCATATAGTTGGGTTTTGTGCCTTATTTCTTCCTTCCCCCCCCCCCCCCCGCGTATTGCACAGGAATCTTGTAATAAATGCTTGTGAAGTTCCATTCCTCATACAGAATAGTTAAGAATCATATTGTAACTAACAGTTCCTTAAAAAGTATCCATACAATAAATCTATTGGTAGTCCATTGAGGTCCTGACCCTACCATCTCAGGGAAGAGCCAGGATTTCCAAGGAAAAATGTTCCAAAGGGCAGGTACTTATATCTTAAAGTTAACAGAGAATTTTTTCAACAGAACCTTATAATCAACTGCTTTTTAAGCGAGGAAGAGAAGCCATTTTCATAGGTGTAATCCCTCCCAGACCAATTTTATCAGACAAAGAGGGAAGGAAACAGATGGTGAGCTTCTATTTTACATCTACATTTCTGAAATCCATAAGATGAAAAAACAAAATAGGACAAGCAGATTGTCAATATACCTGTATGATCTGCCCCAACAATATATTCAAGTCCATTATTTTTTCCTCACAGCTCTAAGGCACAAGGCAAATACTCAGAAAAATTCATGGTCAAGTGATCTGTCCCCGTCCACACACACACACAAACACAGCCAGCCGAGGGTTAAGAAAGTACTTGGCACGCACACAGGTTGTTATCTCAAATTTGGCAGCAATATAATCACCGTCTGCCAAGAGCTTTTACTGCAACAGATAACATAACATTACATACGCATTGCAAATAGTCCAGCAAAACAATATTCCTTTCGGCAGCTTCAGACGTTGTTCAAGTGACTAGCCAAAGTTCATTTTTGTTCGTCATGGAGTTTTACCAGCCACCACCCTCTCTTATATAGTCTCTGGGGTGACTCAGTTCTAATCCCTAGCACGCCTCCTCAACTGCTGCAATCGTTTATCACGCCTTCGTTGGCGTGCATCCAGGAATGACAGCTCTCCTTCGCTCTCATCCGAGACACCTGGCTCCTGGCTAATCTCCTCTCCCGGCACCTGAGACAGTGCCAGAGAGGAGGGGCCTAGAGAGGGAGGCCTGGCTGACTCCTCTTCCTCATGTTCGGAGCTTTCTTCCTCCGATGAGATAGGCTCAGAGGGCGGGGCCACAACAGTCAAGTATGAATTTGAAGCCACATCTTTTCAGGCTAAATTGGACGTCACAAGATTAATTCTTCCAGGAAGTCAGCCACAAGTCACTTTAACGATCATGTCTTTTTTTTCTATGAAAAATTGAGGAAAAATAGATTATTCATGGTGCCAACAAGTGCATGCTACATCTGAGATAAACCTCATAACCAACCCTTTGACATTGCCCAACGTAGGTACCTTAACTTACCAGAACCAAGTTTAAAATAGAGGGAAAGCCATCCAAAACCCAGAAGCCAAACATTAAGCAATAATTTCAAAAAAATCATTTCTGATTTATATTCATTCTCCCCTGTGCCTGTGGTAACAGAATAACAGAGTTGGAAGGGCCCTAGGAAGTCTTCTATCCCTGCTCAGGCATGAAATCCTATACTATTTCAGACAAATGGTTGTCCAATCTCTTCTTAAAAACCTTAAGAGCACCCACAATTTCTGAGGCAAGCAGTTCCACTGATTAACTGTTCTATTAGGAAATTTCTCCTTAGTTCTAGGTTGCTTCCCTCCTTGATTAGTTTCCACTTTGCTTCTTGCCTGCCTCCAGGTGCTTTGGAGAACAGGTAGACCCCCCTCTTCTTTGTGGCAGCCCCTGAGATATTGGACATTATGTCATCCTTAGTCCTTCTTTTAATTAAAGTAGACATACCCAATTCCTTCAGCAGTCCCCTAATCATCTTTATTGCTCTTTACACTCTTTCTACAGTCTCAACATCTTTTTTAGACCGTGGCAACCAACATTTTTTATATTGTAGTTTTTATATTTTAATAATGATAGTTTTACATTTTTAATAATAGCTTTACATATTTATTGTTTTACAATTCTGGTATGCTAGCCAGTCACTTTTTATGAAATAGCTGTATAAATTTCACAAATAAATCAAATCAGGGTGTAAGATGTGTAACACCAGCTAGTAAGTATATTTTAAACTTATTCTGTCAAGGGAACAGATAATTTATTATTATAAGCACATTCCATCTTTATTTTGTACAATTTATTGCTGCAGAAATAATGCTCCTGCCTATTTTCTTGATAATACCCAGTCTGTGAGGTTGGTTCAGCTAAGTGACTGCCCAAGCTCAAACCAAACTGGCTCTTAATCTATAGAAATTCATAGTACTCAGGAATCTTTCGACTCTAGCAGAATATAAATAAGGGAAATATACTTTTCAGATAGAATTCTATAGTGATACTTGATGAAATATCCATGCATCTGGTTTAAAAGAAAAAAAACCCTGCCAGTAAAAGGCTAATTTGCACTTTAAAAAAAACCCACTATGAACCAAGCAAACTACTCTAAAAGCCCAACTCACATTATGATGTGTAATAAAAAGTTAGTCGTTTCTCATAACAGCACTGGCCATCCTTGAATAACATTGTCTTCTAGCGTAACACATATTTAGGAAGGATTGTTTATCTTTTGTTTCTCCCGACAGGATCCAGAGAAAAGTTTCACCCTCACCTCTGGGTTTAAGAGAGAATTTACTTTACCCCTCTGTATTGGCCACTTAAAGCACCATCAGCCTTAAGAGGGCAAAGCTAAAAGGGGGAGATGAATTCCAAACGTAGGTCCATCTCGAGTTATGACTGAAGTTGGTAACGCTGCAAGTGATAATTTTTCAGAAATGTTGTGGCAATGGATAAATTTTAGGGTTTTTTTTTTTCCAAATATGAGATTGTGGGGATTTTTAAAAGCATCCTTTCCAGTTATGCTTTGAGATCTAGTGGAGGAAAGGAATACATTCACCAGCTTCTCAATCAAGTCAACAAGAATCAGAAAATCTACAAACAGAATAAGAGTTGGAAGGGATCTTGGAGGTCTTCTAGTCCAATCCCCTGCTCAAGCAGAAGGCCTTATATACCATTCGACATGTGGTTGCCCAGTCTCTTCTTAAAAGCCTCCAAGGATGGAGCATCCACAACTTCTGAAGGCAAGGTAATAAGGTGGAGCCATTCTCTTACTAAGAATTTAAAAGTAAAGTCAAGAATCTTTTGGTAAATCCAAAATAAAATAAGCCAATGGATGGGGTTATCAACAGAGTTTAACCTAAATAGGTACTTTACTTTGGCAATGGAGAAATTGGATGCATCACAGAAAAGTAACGATCTCCAAGTGCCTGAAAGCCAGAATGTGACCAAGAAGTTAATTAGGTATATAAACTAAATTAAAAGAGGTAATTTATCTACATGATGAAGAATAAAATAAAACTTACCATTGTTTTCTAACAGAAGGAACAGCTACTGCTTCAGACCTTACATTCCTCTCATTCAGCAGAATCACTTCTGCAAAACACCAACCATTTCATCGCAGGGCATTTTTGTAAGCAGACAAGCTATCCCTTAGGTCTGTACCTGGAACGGAATGAAAGAGAAGCAACAAAAGTTGATGTAAAGAACTCAAAACAGTCTAATATAGTCACAGACTATAACCAGGCCCATCTGAACCTTTTTAGGGTGGGTACTGTGTATGTGTATGTGTGTTTTGGTTGGTTATAAAGAGGAAGTTAAGGAAAAGGAAAAGGTTCCCCTCGCAGGTATGTGCTAGTCGTTCCGATCCAGGTGTTCCCGACCAAAGGTGGTCCCTATTTTTCTACTTAAATTTTTTACGGGCTTTCAAACTACTAGGTTGGCAGAAGCTGGGACAAGTAAAGGGAGCTCACCCCATTACTATGGCACTAGGGATTCGAACAGCTGGACTGCTGATCTTTCAATCAACAAGCTCAGCGTCTTAGCCACCACATGCCTTAAAGAGCAAGTTACGCTATAATAAATTTTGTCACCTTAAATTCTTCATAAATGACCAAGAAACGAGGTTATCACAACTCAATAGTCGTACATCGAATTGCAGTTCCTACATAGGAATACAACCAGTGGTGAAATCCAATTTTTTTTACTATCGGTTCTGTGGGCATGGTGTGGTGGGGAAGGATACTGCAAAATCTCCATTCCCACCCCACTCCAGGGAAAGGATATTGTAAGATCTCCATTCCCACCCGACTCTGGGGCCAGCCAGAGGTGACATTTGCTGGTTCTCTGAACTACTTAAAATTTCCGCTACCGGTTCTCCAGAACCTGCTGGATTTCACCCCTGAATACAACCATTTCAATCAGGGTGGATAAAAATTAATGATTTAAAAAAAACAACAACAAAAAAAACAGATTTTTTTGATTTAAATCGATTTTTTTTATTTTTATCTAATTTATTTTAATAAAAAACTTTTGGGGTAAAAATCTATGGTAAGATAGTTTTCTATTTAAGATACATAAATAATTTAGTTTATTCAGCATGAAATGGAGCTTAGTTAGGTAGCATGAGGCTGTATATTCTGCAACACTGGGACTATCGGTGAGTCAACAGTGGGTCAAAGGAATAGCAGAGATGACAGTTGCTCTTTAAAAATTATGATTTAAATCGAGTTGATTTAAGTCAAGCCTTTACACTAGTGATTTAAATCATGATTTAAATTGTGATTTAAATCAACTCGATTTAAATCAAATCCACCCTGATTTCAATCAAGAAAAATCACGAAGTTGGGACTAACGAGGTTATCCTTCCCTCCTGCCGTTGCCAATCCAGTAACAAAGCTGGGGATTTGCCGTTATAACGCATCCCGCGTGCCCAAAACGTTTGTTTCTCACGACAAGATCCGAAGGCGGAGACCCCACCCCGCTTCAGGTTTCAGTGAGAGCGCGCTCTACCCCCCTGTGTTGACCATCCTAAAGCACAGACCGCTTCGGAGGCGCGAAGTTTAAGGGGCCGAGAAAAGACGCGGGAGTTCCGACCCTCACCTACCCTGCGCGCTGAATATCTACCCTTCACGGGCAAGGCCTCCGCCTGCCTTCCCTTCGCTGCTGGGCATCCTGCAGGAGGGCTGGGCTTTCGTTCCCTTTCGCCCGCCAGCTTCTTCTTGCGCCCCGCCATCTTCCCCTCTCCCGCCGCTGGCCTGCTTGCAAAAGAGCCGCAATCGTTGGAGAGCTACGCCGCCTCCCACGCCGGGCGAGAAAAGAACGCAGGAGGCGCCCGCTGGGTTTATATAGCCCATGAAAGGCGATCCCGCGAGACTGGCCTGGCTGGGAAGGGGGCGCGCAAAGGCGGGGCGAGAGGAAAGCAAAAAAAAAAAAAAAGAGAGAGAGAGAGAGAGACGGGGGTGGGTGGGACGTGAAAAGCACCCGCGCCGGTTTTGCCGCGCAAATGGCTGTGGGGTTCATTGGCTCAGCAAGAGGGCACCGTCTACGCAAACGAGGATATCTTATTAAAAATAAATATATGATTGGAAGCAAGCGCATAAATGTTCTGTTTTGAGGAGGGACGGGTGTTTGGTGTAATTTAGTTTAAACTTTATAAAGTATTAATTTTCGAGCGCTTTTGCTCCATGAGGGAAAGAAACACTCTCCAGATCACGTCTATGGAGGGTTCTCAATCCTCCAGGTCATGGTTGTCCCAAAGGTGTTTTTTTGCAAAAGAGAACTGGGTTGTTGTTTTTTCTCCTCTCCTTGAAAACGTTTCGCTTCTCATCCGAGAAGCTTCTTCAATTTTGGCTTCTGAAGAAGCTTCTTGGATGAGAAGCGAAACGTTTTCAAGGGAAAAAACACGAAGAAAGTCCAGTTGCCTTTTGAAAAGGCACCTTTGGGATCTGCAAGATCACGATATATTCTGGGTGGAGCGAAGGCTGCGAGAGGAAGGAGGCTGTGTGCGCGCGGATAGCACGTACCTGCCACGCAGTCCTACTCCATCGTTTTCCTTCGAGGAGCAGAGAGGTCTTTAGAACATTTTCTTTATCTTTGAACCAAACCTTTGATCTGGTCGATAGGAGGATTTAACCAGAGAAGTGACAAGTTTTTAGGCAACATGTATCCTGAATCTTACAAATTACTTTGTAACTTGCATGTAGTTTTTGTAAGTTAGTTACAACTGCTGCCAAACTGTGCATGGCGTTCGGTTCACCTGTTGTATAAGATCCTTCACCGTTTCAGTAAAAAGCCTTAACCTAGGGTTCATAATTAATAATCTAAAATCTTTATTGTCAGTGCACAACATATGTACAATGAGATTGGTTGAGCTCCTTCCGTGCACACACCCCAACACAATACAATTCACAGTGAAGACAGAAAATCCCATACCCAATAAATTATATTAACACCAGTGTGAACATGTTACACTTACAGATACTTTACTATATCTTTACTATATTGTAAAGAAATCTGGCTAAGGATGAAATATTTGCTTTGTGTCTTAACACTAGTTTTTGCAAAAAAAAAAAAAAATAAGACTGAAGAGAATTTGGTGGTATAACCCTATACAGTATGCAGTTTTATTTTCCTTTTCAAAAAATGTATTTGATTAGCTGCACCTTCTCTAACATTGTAGCATTCATCTAAACTCAAGACATTTGTACCATTTGGATAACTCTTATTTCCCAAATCACAGCAGAAATGAAGTCTGTTGCATGAGGTTGCACAATGTTTGCACTAGTTTTTTTTTACTGTGTAATTTGCAATCATTGATCCCATTTTCCACATCAAGCATTTGATATAATTTTCAGATCAGCAGCCATAGGATCATGCTTCCCATCAAAATTGCTTTATATTTTCTCTCCATTCCAAATTTAATTCCTTGCTAGTTTATCTGTTTTCACATTAAACAATATTGCTCTTTTTTGTAACAACCATTTCTGCAATAATTTTGCCCTCACATGGCACCACTGAACAGTGGTGTCTGTCTTGCACTAAGAACTTCTCATGACCCTTATATCCTTCCTCAGTTTTATCACTCTTTCATCTTAACCATAGTCTTTATTTTCTCCTTTTGGTGTGTTTTTAATATTCTTTTTGAAGCGTGTACATCAAAAATGCTTCGAAGAAAACCAGACCATTTTCTAAGCAGATACTGATCAGTCATTAAGTTGTCATAACGTGGCTTGCATTGAACCTAAAGGTGCTTTTTAAAAGGCAACTGGACTTTTTTTTTCCATTGAAAAACATTTCACTTCTCATCCAAGAATCTTCTTCAGTTTTGAAGAACTGAAGCAGCTTCTTGGATGAGAAGCAAAACATTTTCAAAGGAAAAAAAAAACAGGAAAATCCAGTTGCTTTTTAAAAATGCATCTTTGGGACAATCCTAACCTGGATGATTATGTCTGTCCACAGGCACTTTTATGGAAGGTGGCTAGAACGTAGGACTGAAACAAAGTACAACACTCCATATACTGCTATGAAACATCTAGGTGACAAGAGCTATCACCACCTCACCTCCTGGTGACATGAGCACATTATTTTGTTTTCCTGGAGACAATACAGGTGGCTTTCCACGATCTTCCTGGCTTGCTTTACTACGCAAAATTGTTAAAAGTGAAAGAAATAATCCACGTTGCTCAGTTCCTTGGAGCAAGGGTGGAATAAATACATATCTTCTCATCTTAATTTCTCATTCTCACCAGAAAATGCCAAACCTATTTCCATGCAAAAGAAAACCAAGACTCTCTAAAATTCTGGTCATTTCATTTATTTTAAACAGACTTTTAGACAACAAATACAATGCCCTGGTTGAAGGCATGATGCTGACATTTCTGGCAGCTGGAGGGAACTGGTTAAATAACAGCAGTGGTCTTAGATCTAACTTTGGCAAGTGAACCCATCTGTCCCTGACCAATCGTTATCTTGTGCATTTCTCAGGGATTCTGTGGCCTTCCAGAGTGCTGAACTACAGTTTCCAACTTTCTTGGCAGTAGCATTTGCAGATGGGTCAGACTAATGACAGCAGTGCTGTGGCATCACAATGCAAGCTGTATCCCTTTTCTGTGAGCTTCATGACATCACACACAATATCTCCAAGGGGTGGCACTTGTGATCCTGCAGTGGGATAGCGCTTTCATCATTCTGACAAAAACTGCAAGCTACAGCACTACGATTCATGATTACTGCCACTAGGACTGCTAGAAATTGTAATTTAGCAACTCCAGGAGGGCCTCATCTCAAACCTGGTCCTTTTAAGTGCAACTATGGGCAAAAATATACCTGTGAATGATTAAAGTGTACCAATCAATCCATTAGTTACATTTGTTCAACTAACATATGATTTTTCATGGTTACAAGTAACAGGCTAGGGCTGTTTTTCCAGGAACTGACGGGTCTTGCTGCAAACATCACATTCCCAACTTCACGTTGATTGCTTCTCTCAATCCACTTTGTAAAAAGCAAGCACTTAAATGTAATCTTTGCAAGTATATCATTAACTTGAACCACAGAACTCTTTAGAAGGAAAAAAGAGCCAAATTGTGAGCAGACATATGTTGCTAAAGAGCGTATGTAATGTTTTGTGTTCTATCAGAAGTGACCAACTGCCACTGAGCAGACCTCAATGCTGGATTGCTCTAAAGGAAGCAGTGAGGAAGCAGCAAAATCTTTGACCTAAAACCATTTTGGGGGGCACTTGCTTGTTCTGCTAGAGCAGCCTTTCCTGATACGTGGTGGGACCCAATTGAGAAAGGCTGTGTTGGAACTACAAGGGGCAAGATGGGAATTCCGGTCCCAACACACCCCATAGGGGCTAGATTAGAGGCACTCACAAGACACTGTGTCTGTTTTACCATCTTGGGCATTCTTACAGGAACTACCATGATTATATAGCCTTGTTCTCACAATCACCAGATACTGCAGCACCTAGATGACTGTGCCATTTGAAAGCTAAGCGAGAGCTGGCAGAAGGCTTCCCAAGCATGACCCTCTATGCACAGAAACTGTCCAAGGAATGAAGACAAAAAAAAAAAAAAAAACTAGAACCTTTCTCAGTGGCAAAGTAAGTTTTCTATATACAGGTTGATTTTTCTTTACGGAGAAGCAGATCATCTTACAAATTCCACAAAGAGACTTCAGTTGCATGTTGGTCATCTCAGTTGCTGCTTGAAAAAGATATATGGATAGGATGTTCTTCTCGGCTAGATGATTCAGAAGTGGACAGGGGTGGTGGTGTCAGGCATCCATTTTGAGCCCCCCCCCCGCCCTCATGTTAAGAACACCTTGTGACACCAACTTCATGTTCTTTCTTAAACCGAGTGCCATCGAGCAAATGACTTTGCATGTTGTAAACTCTGCATCTGGGAAGTCTGTTGTAGATAATTTGCAAAAACAACCCAGCAATGCAAACAAAACTGATTTCAAGATGTCACCAGAGTTTAACTAGCATTAAGACATATCAGCAGGCAAATGGTTGGCAAGAGGAGCTCAGCTAATACTCAGAAAACTTCAAAAAGGAGGACGAATAGTCCCCAATTTCTGAAGCAAAGAAATAAGACCAGCCAAGTTTTCCCAAGATTGGCTCTTGGCCTCGTTTCAAGGCAACAGCTACTCCTAACAAAAAACAACACTGAACAGGGTGTACAAGAAAAAAAAAACATTCATGAGGTCTGCACTAAACACGAGGTCCAAGTACAGCTGGATATGGGACACAGCCTGATTCCACTTCCAGCCAGCAAGACAACCTTGGCCCACACCTTCAAGCACCAAACATGTTTCTGACCAGGGATATTGATTACTTTCTTGGCCGCAGTAGCTGAGTTGACGTTATTGTGTTCGAAGCTGATAATCTAGGATGAAAAGAAAATTTAATGAACTCGGTAATGAGGAGCTATGAACCTATACATAGAGAGCCCTTCTACTCCATTTTTTTTAAAAAAACTCGTTCATGCCTTACCACTTACCAAAAAAGCATCCAGGCATTTTTCTATGGAAAGAGGCATGTGAAAAATTGCCTTTCGTTTTATCTTTACAACAGCAACTATTAGACTGGGAAAAAGTGACTAGTCCAAAGCCCCCTGGTGGATTCTCTGATCAAGAAATTGAAAATGGTCTCCTCATTGGTACTCCAAGATTCCAATCACCATTCCACCCCTGGCCGTACTTTTTTACCCATGGTTTTTACATAAGATCATCTAATTCTAAAAACTATGCTCGACTATATACTAACCATCCCACCCCTTAATTAATTGCGCAATTAATTTTCCTAGTTTTGTTGTAAGCTCTGT